TGTATAATACATAGTAAGTGTTATTCCTACAACAACTTTTCACCATTATGATTATGGCCCACAGTCAACTCCTTCTTTTATGCTACTTATGGCTACACGTTCCGATGGAGTATCGCGTATCGGCAATTTTAAATTATCTAACTTTTTGCTCGGCTTCTAACTTTAGAAATCCTTACCATTTCCCGAAGGTTAGGCAAAAGCACATTGTTCACAGAGCAATTTATGGCTATTTTCCTTAGTTAGTGTACTGTTGAACTATAGATGTTTTTTTCTGAAGTTAAGGGCATTTACCTCTAATTTCTTTAAAATCTTTCAAATACCTTATTTCCACCATCTCGTTTGGCGTCATACACTGCCGCAAATAGATGTTTCGCTGATATGCAATTCCTTCAGCCATGAAAGTTTTCACGTCTTTTAGCAGCTTAAACATCCAATTTGAGGCAATCACATAAGAGTTTTGACAATAATCGAAATGAATAATGTATTATTGGCATAAGCTCACCAATTTCCACGACTGTTCTGCATCTTCGTCCATTTTGTTAGCACCCGAAAGCTGCTTCTTCATTGTTGTCATCAAGGCATCAATGAAAATCTGTGAATATACACTAGAGCCTATTGATTCTATAGATCGAACAATTCATACATCTAAGTGCGGTTCACAAGCATCGTAGAAGAAATGATGAGCTCCTATCTCATTCATTAGCCTCTGTAAACATTCTCGATCGTCCATATTTTCCATGATCATCGTTATGGCTGACTGTACGGAGGCGCAATGGTGCCTAAATCTAGCCAATAGTGGTTTTGTTATGATTTTCCATTGATCCCAGAACTAGTCTCGTCCGGATCGTTGCCTGGACTTTGTCATTTAGTCGAAGAGATTCACCTGAAGTAGAAATCATCGTATAATTTTAGCTTCCAATCCACACTTGAATCGTTAAGTTTCATCCCAAATTGCCATACGGGACGGATATGTTTGTACTTTTCGAGCATGTTCACAAATGTGTTCTGCACGACGGCGGCCTGCAAGATAGTGACTCTTCTTTGACTTACAATAATTTTGTTGCTACTTTATATAACGTAGATGGCATTACCACTTCTAGATAAAGGGAAATCTTCAGGTGTAGCTTATTTGCACACAAGCTGCAGGATACTATTGATAATGCAAAGCGAATCAATATATCGATCAGTGCGTTTCAAATAATCGCGCATATCTTTCTGGTATCTTTCATAGCAGAGCATCTGAAGGTTTGCGTAACAGCCACGAAAGAACTGACCGCTGAGGGTTTTTGTATAAAAATAGCGATTCATACATGCTAAAGCATTTGCAGTATGGATCTTGGTGCCAGAAATCATTATATTATGCTCTAAAGGCACCTTTGCTCATTTTTCTAAAGAAAAAAGGTAGCACCTTGAAGCGAAGGTGAGAAATTTTATTCGCATTCAAAACACAACATGCGTAAATAGGATTCAACTATTATGGTTATGGTTTATGTCAATAAAATTTCACAGTGAGGTGCATAGTTTTTCTTCAAAGGGGAAGTGACCGAATGATAATTTTCTAACAGCCTCTGAACAATTAATATAGATTTTATTCTAGAAATGTGTGAAACTGGGTTTCAAGTTGGTCATTGCTTGGCAACTAATTGCAACAATTTAACCACTTAAAAGAAGAGTAATCTTGATATTAAGTTATGATTGATTTACGCCGACTGCCGTAATTGAGGTGGAGATAATAAACAAATCAATATGTCGATTGATATAGTTGCAACCTGTTTGTTAAGTTTATGCAATTGAATCCAATGCGCACGTGCCATGTCGCCAACTTCCAGCGCTA